GGATGGATGGATGGATGGATGGATGGATGGATGGATGGATGAAAAACAACTGAATGTGTGATTGTCAGCAGCCCCCGCTGACCCCCCATCTGCTCACATCTGCTCCTCATGCCACGTTTCTGCACATCCTGCCACACTCCTGCCTTCATGCTCTGTGTTCTCCTGCCCATGTCACCTGCCCCCTCCTGCCATAATTTCTGTTTCCCTGCTTTGTTTTGCCTATCACCCATCTCTCAGCTCAAGACTGCTCCTGTCGCCCCATGCAACGCCTCCCTTGCTCCTCCAAAGCAATCAGCCTGGTTCCACGCATCTGTTATCTGCACTATTTAAGCTTTAGTCATTCACTTTCTTGTTGCTGAATTATTAGACCTTCCATGGTCCCTGATTTTGAAGCCATCATAGTTTCTGTTTCATGCCATAGCCTTGTACCCTTGCCTTGCCTTGACCCCTCGCCTGTACCACGGTTTCCTCGCCTTGCCTGCCCCTCTTTGGATTTGGATTCCTCACTCTGACCACAATATCGACCCTGCCTTCCTCCTTCTACGACTTCACCTCACAGATCACAATTTGGCTCTGGCTTCGGCTCTCAGCTTTCCTGTGCATGACCCCTGCTACATTTGTCAGACCCTGAATTTGGATTTGCCCCTCACGGACCACAAACAGCTTCAACCTGCTCCACTGCTGCAGCTCACTTTGCACAAGTGATGTCACCGGCACCAGCACAACAACAGCAGCTGCCACATTACAGACTGAGAAGGTTAGTGACTTTTGCAGTAACCCACAGAACCTCCATGTCCTCGCCAAAGTCACTAACCTCTCTGTCTTTAAGACTGGACTACTCCTGCCTGGACCCTGACTCCTCCATCCAGCAGCTTATAATAAAAACTGTTTTTGCACTTCTGTGTCTGGCTTATATTGAATCCAAAACTCGCTCATGACAGAATGGTTAAGTTTAACCCTGTCAAATTTGGACCAAGCCAACCCTGGGTTCAGTTTTTACACATGAACTGGGTTAAAATGACATATTTGTTGAATTAGGGCTCCACAAAAGCTGCGTTTGAAAGCTAGCTTGTGCTAATTGCTATTGGCAGCAGCAGCAAGCTAGCAACAACTAACTCCCTTTAAAGAAATATGCACTGTTTAATGCAAGCTAAAGTTATTTACAAAGCCAGACAGGTTAAACATCTTCCTACAAGTTGTTTTCACCATCTTAGCTTTGCATCCCTAGCCAGAGGTCTGGTCTGGCTCAGTCTGAACAACTCCTGCCTTAAAATTGTGAACTTGAATAGAAAATTATGACTCCTCTCCAACTCAACCACTGGGTCCAACTTTCTGACAGAATATTTGGTCAAACCAACCCAACCTATGGATTAACATCTTCAACCCAGGGATTGAGTTATGAAAATAACCCTGCAGTTTAAGTTTGTGTGAACGAGGTGAGGCAAACTTAACTTTACTTCAGCAGAACTGCTCTAAATTGTTTTTTTATGAAAATCTGAGTACCATAAATGCAGAAACTCATCAATGCTTTTGGATTTCATGTAATGCTATGAGCAACTCTTTCAGCAACTGTTTAAGGTGAGAAATTATCTTGTTTTAAATAAGCAGAAAAACCAGCACAACTAAAAAAAGTGGGGTGCGGGCACAATGACCTCATTAAAGAAAGATTTCTGATTTACTAGTTTGATTTATTTTCAAACTGAGGAATTCTTCTCGTCTTTAGACAATACTGGGCTCAAACATTTTATGTAATTTTTTTTCTTTCTGCTTTTCCCGGTCTCTACAGCGAGTCATCCTCCATCTCACTCTGCATCCTCTGTACTCAAATATTTTATATAAATATTTTATGTAATCTATTAGTCTGTACTGATGACTACTTTGGGATTTTCTTGACAATGCACGCGTTTCTTGACAAACACATGCGTGCTGAGTTTGAGGTATAATTATTTTTACATGTAGCCATTAATATGAAATATTCGGCCAATGGACAAAGTAAGAAAATCCTTTTGATTCTCATGTGGTACACATACCTAAGAGACTTGTTATAATACTGTATCATATTTGGATGTGTACACTCATACTGTTTACTGAGTTTACTATCTTTTCTGGCTTTTGCTGCAGGTTACCATGGTAACACTAATCCACTGTTCCTAAAATCTGAGGTTAGGAAATAAAATGTATTTAGTTTATTATGAAACTCTGTAAGTTACGTAAAGAGCTAAATTAAGTGTAAAACTGGTTTAAGACCAAGCTGATTTATGCATGAAATGTTAGGAGTACTGATGTGTTAAACTGTGAAACTATGTGAGCATAAATTCAAAGTGTGACTCCATCATCCATCCATTATCTTTTACCTGCTTCTTCCATTTTGGGTCACGGGGGTCACCGGTACCCATGTCCAGCAGTCACTGTGCGAGGGGCGGGGTGCACCCTGGACAGGTCTCCAGTCCATCACAGGGACACATAGAGACAAACGAGACAACCATTCACTCTCTCACTCACACCTAGGGACAATTTAGAGTTACCAATCAGCCTAACATGCATGTTTTTGGCCTGTGGGAGGAAACCGGAGTACCCGGAGAAAACCCACACATGCACGGAGAGAACATGCAAACTCCACCCAGAAAGGAAAGGACCCCGGACCAGGATTTGAACAGGTGACCTACTCGCAGGGAGGCAGCAGTGCTACCAACTGTGCCACCGTGCTGCCCCAAAGTATGACTCCATGTTTTGTTTTAAAAATATTTTCAAGCTACATTTCTGGAGGCAACTACTAAAATAAAAATAAAAACTCGTTCAGCCGTCCTGATGCATGCTCGATAATGCAGGTAGATAAATGTAACAATCAGGTCTGAGGTTCCTCAGGCTGAAGAAGTCTTTTGGATAAAGACAAAACGTTTCAACAAAAAATAATCCGTCCAGAGGACCTGACTCAACTTTGTTAGATTCTCATTCAGACCATACTCCTCTTTGAATCGCTACATTTCATGGTGGAGGCGTTTGTGCATCTGAATGATCCTGGTAAGGTCTCCCAAGGCAAACTGGTGCTAGGAGACAGGCCAGACAAAGAGCGATTCTGAAGACGCTTATGGACACACACACACACACACACACACACACACACACCCCCGCGCGCGCAAAATATCTACCAAGGAGCTCAATGTCCCTTGCCCGGACGTGGTTACTGGGGCTCCACCCTGGAGCCAGGCCTTACAGGAGTGGTCATGAGGAAATTTTCCAGGTTGTCCAGTGGAGAACCTCTTGACAGAGGTCTGCCAACATTTTGGGTCGTCTGCAACCTTTACAATAAAGGCAAAAAATCTCAAATGTGTAATTTTATAAATATATTGCACTGTATACAATTTTTTTATATATAATGTATACAAATGTTCTTTCTTGTGTGCTGCTTGTAAATTTCCACGCTACTGAGTGGCAGACTCTTTCAGAAGCTGCTCGAGTGGAACTTCCTCGTTCTCATCATCCTGTTCCTTGTCATCAAACTGTAAAAGATGCACTCACAGAATATTTAAGCATAAATACTAATTTAAAAACATCTGCTTAGACCTTTTGATCATTTGAAAAATCATCTGAAAAATATATTTTTTCTTTGGCACAGAAGTCTAGTAGAACCTGACTATTCCTGTTCTGCTTACTGTTTTAAATTAGAATTGTTTGGTTTTATCCTTTTAATTTTTGTGTCTGTATTTTTTGTTTTACTGAAATAATGTGTTTTTGATTTTTTTTTCTTTGCTTTATTGATTGCACTTTACTTTGGTATAACTTACATGGTTTTGAGCTCTTTTGGACTGTGCCAGGACGATCACGCTGCACAAGAAAAATGCTGCTGTCATGGATACGATATCTGGGCTCGGTTATCTTGCCACAATTGAAGAAAAGTTTCTATTTATCTGAGCTTTCACCATCAGTTTCAGGAGACAAACCAACAGCAGCATTAGAGGATGCAGATGAAATAGTTTTCTGAGCAGAACCTTGACCAAATACAACATTTTTCCTTCCTTGTTCAGCAAGACTGACCCTGATGGGAACAAGTACTTTTTGCTTTTGCATCAGAAGTAAAATGTGGCATGGCATTTATTGGTTCAGCTATGTAATGAGTGTGATGTGTGATCCTGGATACCGGATGTAGTGAGATGAGAAGTAGGATTGGACAATGCATGCCAGACTTACTTTAAACTCTCCAAAACTAAACCAGGCCAGAGTGAAGCCGTACAGAGTGATGATAAACCACCAAGCTTCAGAAGTTTTGTGTAAGCTCAAACCCCTCCACAACCTAACACAGGCTATCATGCCTAGTAGATAGCCTGTGTTCTTCATACGCACCAGAAAATCTCACCAAGACTCTGCAAAGACCATCCACATTCTTGCAAAACAAAACAAAGGCCTGCTGTTTTGTCTTCTCCACGCTGTATTAAAATCAGCCCTCCTTTGTTGTCTGAATAAGTTCAATTAGAAAGCTATATAAAGCCATGGGGTTTTCTAATGCTAAACAAAGTCAAAGCACAGCTGAAACACAGTCACATATAATGTCATGTTCAAAAATGGTAACTGGGCTTCATCTTTATTGAGCTGCACTTTTTTCGTTCTAACCCACAGAGGGAAATTTTGCACAAGTTCTTTCAGATGTTCTTCTCGATAAATGAGTTCCAGGTGAAGAAAGTGTGTAAATAAAATGATCCCAGTCAGCACTCCACTGCAGCTACTTCTAAAACACTCACACACATTGTTGCTCAAGAACTTAAAGGCTAAAACTGCACATTTAAAGCACTGTCAAAGCTTAGCAATAGACCCAGTTCTTACCCTCCAGTGAGTCACACTGGGTCAGGTTCTGATAGTCAGTTTCAGTCAGAATCCCAGCTTTCATTCCTCGAACCAGACCCTCCAGGTATCCATGATCCACATTAAAACTGAGCTCCTGACACACTGCCATGATGCCAAATGACTTATTGACTGCAGTTACAGATCTTTAAACATGTTCCTTCTGCATTTCCTCTGTGACTAATATTCATCTCTTCCTTTTTAAACACTAAAGAGTTCTTTAACTGTCCTATAAATGGCCTTCAAGTTTATTCATCATGACTGTTTGAGGTAATTACTCATATTTTCCAGTCTGCTGTGGCTTTTAAACAGCAGAACCGTCCAATTTGAGAAACAGTGTTACCATAAACCTTGGAACAAAAGGATCCTTAGTGTGTGGCAAAATGTAAAAACAATAAAATAAAACTCTAGGACCAAAAACATAATCTTCAATGGGTTTCTACCATGAAACGTTTATAGTGTTCCTCATCAGTCTTTATTTGTGTGTACTTCTTTTTGAGGATGTATTTAAGTGTATCACACAGCAAAAAATTAAAAAAAGTATTTTGCCGTTTTTTCAGTCCCTTGCAGATAGATATGTCTGTCTTTCTCACTACACTTTTGCCTTGTGCTTACAAGCCAGAGTGTTTGTTACATCAGCAGTTTGTCTTTCACAATAAGACACTGAATCATTCTTCACTGTATGAATCATGAACTGGACTGCTTCGAAGTAACATCTGCCTTTAAATCTCTGAGTGCTTAAGGGTTTAAACAATACCATGTTTTTGGGGAGGAAAATGGAAAACCCCAGGCGCTCTAACATGATATCCAGTGAGCTTTCTCCTTCACGTTAGGCCCTCTTAAAAAAATATTAACCCTCCCTACATGAATTATAGAGCCTAGGGCAGGGGTGGCAAACTCATTTACAAAAGGGGGCCAAAATTAAAACGTTTTTCAAACTAAGGGCTGGTTTCAGAATCTACATTAACTCAAATCAGAGACCCGGCATCTTTTCTTAGTTGCAGATTCCTCAACAGTCTCATTTGATGTTCTCTGTTGCACTTTTGACATCATAATCAAAGATTACTGAAATAATTAAAGTGATAAAAGTATTTTACATTTACAATAACATCTTGGGGGCCAGATAAGATGTCAACGAGGGCCACATTTGGCCCCCGGGCCTTGAGTTTGACCCATATGGCCTAGGGGGTCGTTGGCCACCCTTAAAAAATTGCCCACCCCACTGAACCCTCTTCTCCAGACAGTTTTATTCTCTTGAGCAGGGGCGATTCTAGAATCTGATATTTAGGGATACTTAGCCCCCAGTGCTGACAATAGCTCTTGGCTTAGCCCCCAGTGCTGACAATAGCTCTTGGCTTGAACAATGTGGTAGCCATTGGTATCAGAAGCATTCATAATGTGGGGAGAACCCACTTGTGTGTGTGTGTGGGGGGGGATCCTTCCCCAGAAAATTTTTAATAAAGTAGACGCCATTTCCTGCATTCTGATATATTTTCACGGGTTTTTAAACATCTAGGCTTACCTCCATAAGTAAGCTCTTGATTCAATAACTATTAGAGAGCACGGCACAACAAGAAATAGCGCTAAGCTAGCGGCGCTCAATACAGACGTGCTAGCTAAGATGCTACAGACGTAGCTAAAGACTGAACTTGTACAACCAGAATTTGCAACATATATCTACACACAGAACACACAAAACAAAACACAACTAGCTTTAAGCATTAGCCTTTAATTTAACCATTTAGCGTACAATGTAATTATGACAGAAAATGAAGGATTTACCTGCAGTTACCTTCTTACAGATGAACATGTGGTACTTCCTGTTGTATTCAGCTGCTCATGAGGTCGGCCGCAGAGCTTTATCCATCATTTATATTTTTACAGACTCAGTTTAGTATTGGAAATGGAATAAACTGTATTCCACCCTCTAAAGCAGGACTATTCCGCTGAACTGCTCAGGGGG